TCGGGTATAATCCAGATCTCCTGCGCTTGGGCGCTGGTCCCGGCCGTGGCTTCGCTCCGATGGTTCAAGAGGCGGCCGCGCGGGGCTCGCCGCCGGCAGAACAGAGGTGGTCCGCGCTAATGCTCCGAGGGGGAAGCGCCTCGCCGAAGTTATAAATACAGGAGTGTGTAACGTGAGCCGGGGGCTGGCTTAGCGGCGCGGCGCTGACCACATGCGAGCGCCAGCCCAGCAGCCACCCCACCAGCGACCCGCGGCTCCCCTCGCCCTGACCCCAGCGCAGCCTCGGTCTTGCTGGCCAGGCGTCGGTCAACCTCAAGGAGCGGAGCGGTTCCAGGACCTTAATAAGTTCTGGGCGAGAAACCTTTAGGGGCCCAGCCTGCCCTCACCCGTGGCCCTTCCAACGCCAGGCTCCGCCCCGCTCGCCCCTCATAAGGCGCAGGACATGAAGGCCCAAACCTTCCCTTTATGTTGTGCAGAACCAGAGTGCAGGTAAGAGGAAGCACACCTGCACCATCTGGTGCCGCCCCCTCCTCCTCCTCCTTTTCTCATTTGGGCTAGTGCAGATGGTGGGTGTACTAGTGTTAAGGATAAGTCCCAGAAAGTGCAACTAGATGCAGGAAAGTCTGAGAGGGCAACATTTACTTACCATGTGTTTTGGGAAGCCTTGTAATGGAGACTGGGCAAAGTGGGCCTGCCTTGCTCTTTCTGGGCAGCATGAAGTAGAGAATTCAGCTTATTCCAGGTGCGAGCAAGGAACAGCATCTGTTTTTGCTTATCTTTCTAGGTGTGACCCATTTCTTCTTACCATGCCTCCCAGAGATCACTTACTTGCATTTCTCATTCATCCATCTGTATTTGTTCTTTAAGTGGTGCAGTGATAGGAAATAGGGGCATCAGAGCCAAGAGTTCTGATTGCGACACCCAGAAAAAAGATGAATGAGTAGGTGGAGATACCACCTGACCCTACAAACTGCCTGCTACTTCTCTGCCCACCTTTGAATTCACTGGAGAGTGGAAGTGAATCCATATTGCCCTGAGCTAGCTGTTCCTATATGTTGCCCTGTGTCTTCCTCCTTTCCACTTTCAGTCCCTTGAAAAGTTTCATATCTTCTAGGAGTCTTCTGGCAGTACCAGTTCCACAGCATCAGCAGGCATTGAGCAAGGATTACTGTGCCTCAGCATCTTTAAGATCCTGGCTGCTGAACATACAGGAACAATCTGTATTGTTTGGGAATATCCAGATCAAGAATATCCACTATCAAACACATTTCTCACCTTGCCAAGGCTTTTATGATCCTGTTCATCACATAAATTTCCCTATCTGTACAACACAGTTCTTAGAGGATCAGGCTGTATTTCTGTTATACAATTGGCTCACTAAGCATTATATTCATGCTGATTGTGGACCTTTATAACACTTTCACACAGAAGGCAAAAATGTTGGGAATGAAGTGGAATTTCAATCCGTTTCCAATCAACATTCAATCCAATGTTGAAGTCCAATCAACAGTATCCATTTATTTCAGCCTGTATATTCACAAAGGAAAAGTTTGGACTTTTGCAGCTTTCCACCATAAGTATCTACATTTAAAAAACAACATTCATGGAAATTCAGTAGCACAATCCCCCATGGTTTTAAATATATAGTTTGCGATACTAAAGGGATCCCAGATGTGTGGCTTTGATAGAAGCTTGTCATTTGATCATCACATATCATACATATTATTGCATATGACAAGCTTTTTCCGAATTGGATGATTTTGAAAACAACATTGCAATTTACCTCTTAAGGCTCTACTTTATGGGACAGAAATGAAGGGACTTTTAAAATTCCACTGATTGTTTGAAAATTCTGGAGTAACAGTTTCATTTCCTAGTTTCCAGCGTTGGAGTTTCTTTACAGGTGACTTTGGCTAATGTATTTCCCAAGATTTCCAAATCTAGCAGCTATACTTGATTTCATGCTACACTTGAAACAGGGGCAGAGACTTCTCAGAGACTGTATACTGCAACTGTGATTAAGCCTTCATTAGCAAATAAATGTCTCCTTGCTTCATCTTTTCAATAGAGCTTTTCTTGGTTACAGCAACTTTCCATGGTATTATGCAATCACTGTAGAGTAAGCATCATTGAATGTGGCACAGTGCCTAAATAAAACTGATACAATTGGGCTGAAACCTGGAATCTCATGATTCAAAATTTCTAAAAGTCTTGATCTTACAAAATAATGTTAAGGAAACCTAACTTTGTCCCAGTTTACAATAATACTTGGGCTTATATTGATACTATAAGGATTACTGAGCTTGTATAAAACATACAGATAGAGGTTTTCATGAGATAAGTCAGTTTACTCATTATAATGTCCAAACCATGATTCTCAGAGTATGCCACAAACATGAAATTATTCTAAATCTGTTTTTAATGTCAAATAGGAACACTCACTTTCCTTCAAAAGGTCATACTATATAGATTTCAAGGGAATCAGTTATAAAAATTGCCACTCCATATAAATGATTAGGTTAGGAAAAAGGTAACAAATTTCCACTGCCTTTAATTCTTGGGATACAAATCCAATGAATGAACCAATAAACTGATGCTTAAAAAGAGTCATTCCACTCTAGATAACTTGGGCTAATTTTTATTGTAAATAAAAATTGTATAGAGCCTTTTTTCCAGTAGGGCTGGAAAACACACGCTTTATACACATGCTTTAATAGGGGTGGATAGGAACTCAGTTATTTGACTCAGTTATTTGATTTATATCCCATATTCCTGGCTCCATTTCCCCCCCCCCCCCCCCAAAAGACTCTATCAGATAGGTTGGGCTGAGAGAGAGAGAATGACTGGCCTAAAGTTACCAGTGAGCATCCACCACTGAGGGTGGGTTTGGACAAGCTCTGTTTCCATTAGCCCAAGAGAAATAGGAACCGAAGTCTGTATGGTGAAATCATAAACAACCGGTGCATACTTAGTGCAAGGGTTTACAGGCAATTCATTTTTTCATTACGGTGTCGATACTTGTAGATTATTTAATAAACTGTATGGATAAATTTGGGGTATCTGCTTTTGTATCAGGTACAGAATGGTACAAACTTTACAATATAAGATAAATTCTCTCCCTGTGAAAGCATCCCTAGATTTGCCAAGTACTGTTAAGAGAATCCCCTGGATGAATTCTCTGGTTATAAAACTGTAAAGGCCAGTGTTTCTCAACCTTGGCAACTTTAAGGCTGGCTGGGGGATTCTGGGAGTTGAAGTCCACAGGTCTTAAAGTGGCCAAGGTTGAGAAACACTGATATAGGCTAAACAACTGTTGAGGTCTGGATCCACACATATTGTCCCTATGAATCTCTAATAACCTGCCAAAAGTCACACATACCCCTTTCACTCAGCCAACATCAGATCCAAAAGGTACCATTGTGACTGGGCCCAATTTGTTGAATTCTGTTTAGACCACTGATTTTTGGAGATCCTCTTCTACATTTGGTGCTGCTCCTTTCTACAGAGTTGGGTGCCCCACCACGAAGCAGAAAAGAAGCTCAGCTTTGAGCCTTGATTACCCTGGACCTTGCTCTGAAGGGCAAGCCCTCTTCCCTAGGAAAGGCTCAAACGGAGGGGGAACAAATAAGCAAACAGAGAAGGGGGCCATAAAGTCAGGGTCAAGAAGGGGACGCCTTCGAAGCAAAGAACCCAGAACTTCGGGTAGGCGAGGCGCAATGGGACGCGCCGGAGCCGCGGCGCGCTGGAGCCGTTTCCCGCCAGGTCAGACTGGTTCCTTTGCCGCCGGCGCCGGGAGCGTCCCGGAGGCCGGATTCGACTCCTCCCGTTTTGTCCCGCCTAAGAGAAGTCGAAATCTCGTGCCCACCTGCGATTTCGAAGCTACTAGAATTCCCTCCTTCTCTTCTGGGTAACGCGGGGAGCTGAGAGGGAAAACTCCCATAGAACAAACAGCCCTTGCCAAGGAAGTTGGGTGAGGCCCAGGGCTGCCGTGCCCGCGGCTCCGCTGGAGTCCCTCGAAGACTTCATGGGCGGCCCCGAGGACGACCCTTCCAGCATCTCAGCTCGAGCGGGTCGAAGTGAACAAATTGCCTCGTGTCTCTCGCTTTCCCGCTGCCCACAAAACACGCGTCGCAGCAACAGGCGCTCGATTTGGGGACTCCGCTCGTCCCCTGAGAAAGATGGCAGCGCAAGGCTCCCTCAAGGCCTCGCTTTTCGTCCTTGCAAAATCACGCTCCCCGCCTTCGCTTTATGCGACACCTTCCCATTTAGTGGAAAGTTTATTTCGTTCCCCTCGGTGGCGGCGTTTGCGTTGCCTCAGGTGCCTGGAAGGATTTCGAGGGTGGTTCGAAACGGCCAAGGGCGGCCAGGCAGCGCCCGCTCACGTTAGTTCGACAGAAGAAGTACTGTTGATAAACAAAGGATCATTAAGACAACAGGATTATTTTCCTCCCCCCACCCCACCCCGAAAAGTCTTCTTTTGATTCGTTGTTGTTCTTGTTTTAGATATTTAGTCTCATTCCATGAGATTTCCAGCGCTATGCACGAAAACATGCACACACGTCATTTTCATCTATCATTGGCGGGGGCGGCGGGGGGCGTTATGAGAATTGCAAGAGGTAGTGGCTTAAACGGAAATTGAGTCCGATTTTGTGGGAAATTAGTTTTGC